CAGACGACATGTCCATCCTGGGCCTCCTGCAGTGCCACAACGATGCCACCCGAAGGTTGCAGGAACAGCAACTCATATTCCGCTTGGGAACCCTGCAGCCCAATGGTATCAATGTGGATTTCACAAGCTTCAAAATCTCCCCTCCCCCTACCGCATCCCAAAACCAGCCCAGCTCATCCCCGCCTCCCTAACCTGTCCTTCCTCCCACCTATCCCCTCCTCCCACCTCAAGCCCCACCCCCATTTCCTACCTACTAACCTCATCCCGCCCCCTTGACCTGTCCGTCCTCCCTGAACTGACCTATCTCCTCCCTACCTCCCCACCTACACTCACCTTTACTGGCTCCATCCCCGCCTCTGACCGGTCTGTCTCCTCTCCACCTATCTTCTCCTCTATCCATCTTCTATCCACCTCCCCCTCTCTCCCTATTTATTTCAGATCCCCTTTCCCCTCTCCCATTTCTGAAGAAGGGTCTAGGCCTGAAACATCAGCCTTCCTGCTCCTCTGATGCTTCTTGGCCTGCTGTGTTCATCCAGCTCTACACCTTGTTATCCATGACTTTGAAGGTGTTCAATTGTATTCTAATCATTTCAATATAAAGACAGGAATTGCCTCTATTCATAGACTTACAGAATTATACAGTACAAAAGAGAGTCTTCAGCCTATTGAGTTTTTACCACCAAAAATATACTACAATGTACAGTAGACCCACTTTCTTGGACTAAACCCCATAGTCTTGCATGTTATACCACTTGACCAAGTAATTTTTAAATGTTGTGACATTTCCTGCCTCAACTACGTTTGCCGGCAGTGCATTCCAGATCCCCACCACACTCTCAATCCTCAAGTCCCACTCTAAACCTCCTGCCTTTCACTTTAAAGTGATGTACCCCCACCCCCATCCCTGTTATTGACCCTTCAACTAAGCGGAACAGCTGCTTCCTATTCGCACTGTCCATGCCCCTCATAACCTTACACACCTCTATCAGGTTTCCACCACCACCCCCAACCTTCTCTGCTCCAAACAAACAACCCAAGCTTATCCAGCCTCTCTTCTTCCATCCAAGGCAACATCCTGGTGAATCTCCTCTGCACCCTCTCCAGTGCTATCACATCCTTCCTATAGTGCAGAGACAGTAACGACACACAGTGCTCCAGCTGTGTCCTGATCAAAGTGCTGCCCATCTCCAACATCACCTCCCCACTCTTATAAACCATGCCTCGACTGAAAAAGGCACATGTCCTGTACACCTTCTTAACCGCCCTGTTAACCTGTCCAGCCACCTTCAGGGACCAGTGGAAAAACATTCCAAGATCCCTCTGTTACTCTGAGCTTCCTTGTGTCCTGCCATTCATTGAGTACTCCATTGTCTTCTTCCTTCTTCTAAAGTGCATCACCTCAGACTTACCAGGGTAAACCAAAAATATACTCTAACATTCTGTCAAATCTTTGTTGTATCTGGACAATGAAATATAAAGGCTTTATTGAGACTATAATGGAAAAATGCTGATAACATATGTCTTCAGTTCCCAATATAATCATAGAATCACACTTATTATGTCTGTACCACCAAAAATACGTTAAGAATGTCATTAGTATGGTATTGTGTGCAGTCCTGGAATGTACATTCTCGGAGGGATGTGATAGCACTGGGAGACGGTGAGAGGGAGATTTACCAGGAGGTTGCTTTGAGGCTGGAGAGTTTCAGTGATGGAGAGAGATTGGACAGACTGGGGATGTATTCCTTAGAGCAGGGAAGATTGAGAGGGTGCACATAATTGAGATGTATAAAATGAAGAGGGGCATAGGTAGGGTAGACAGGAAGAAACTTTACCCCCTTGTTGGAGGAATCAATGACCAGGCAGATCATAGATTGAAGGCAAGGATTGATTGAAGTCATAGATTGATGACCATTACTGTCAAGGATAACGTTGACAGGGAATAATGAAACTGAATTGATTTTGTCACGTTTCTGCTAGCCTCATCATGGAACTACTGCCCAGATTCCGATATTAAGTTCTCGCTGGCAACATGTTTGGCAATACACAATAAGTAAAATAGCTTCATTTGCAGGAACAGCAAAGAGTTCGAGAATAGATTGACCTGATCTAATGATTAAAATAGAAAGCAACACAGAATTACGGGAACTTGAATTCTGTTATTTGCATCTACAGGAACAGTCTGTTGAAATATTACAAAGCAGCTGGTTTCCTGATGGTTTTGAAAATTAGGTGATGAGTCTTAAACTTTTGGATATGTGACATAACTTTGTGGCAACAAGATATTCAAATGACATCTTAATGTATTACACAATATTGTATTTGCATTACATTTTGCAGTATAATTTTGTTCAGTCTTTTTATATCCCTGATTCATTTGTTACAAATTTCACTTTGGTTCCCTTACTTTG